GTTAATTTAATTAATAAGTACATTCCAATTATTTATTAATTATATCTTATTGCCCTATAATGTATTGTTAACATACTTAAACTACGAATATTCGTATAGGCAATTCACTTTATATTCCATTTTTTTCAATAAACATTTAAACATTTTATTACAAAAATTGTTCAAAACGATTTGAACTATACAGCTTTCGATTTTATACATATTTATTGTTAACTGTAAAGAAAAAAAACATGTTTCATAATTCTAAAATTTAGCGATTTTAGTATTTAATGTTAAAAAATGCTTGAATGTTCATTACATGTAAATTCCTCCTATCTATAATAAAAAATTAAGCGTTTCTAGACCCATGTTTATGTGAACTTTTTTAATATTTAGTCGATAGGAATACGCCCTTAGAATATTTGATATTTATTCATTTACATCTTGTATTAGCATTACCACTAAAGCGTTTCAATTATTTGCAGAAAACCATAGAATTTATATATTTTAAATTTTCGAATTTAAATTTAATTTAAATTTAATTTAAATTTAATTAATTATGCGCATCTTTTTTCGCGCTGATTCTTATTAGCCTTGAATATCTTTGTTATTATTTTTTTAAGATTAAGAGTCTGTTGTAAACATTTATTTTTATATTTTTTAATTTTCATTTCATTTTGATACGTTATTTGTGTAAGAATTGTTTAATGATATTTCAACATTTTCAACAGTAATAATAATTTTACTATATATTACTATAAAACTATATATTAGTAACTACTATATATTAGTAACTACTTTTGCAACCAATTTTGCGACATTTTTGCGACACGTTCATAACTCAAATTGTAGATATTAAAATGTTTTTACAATTTTGATCTAAAGATAAATATTTTCTTGATTTACACTTTGATGGTAATTTTTTTAATCGATTATATATATACTTAAAATACAATGTAATTTTATGTTTGGAAAATTGGACTTGTATGAATGCAACAATAGTTATAATTAATTATTATAATCTATCTATCCCCGATTTTTTTATTATAATTATATTGTAAATACATAATTATATCATCATATAATTAAGTTATCGTAATATAACAATAATATACTCAATGTTTTTAATAAATATACGTTTTAGAGCACTTTGGTGTTTTATGATCGGCGTAACAATGATATTGCTTATGTGTGGATATTCTGGCATGTTGATTTATGCTTGGTATCATGAATGCGATCCCCTTACGACTAAGGTAATATTTATTTATTTAGCTTTCATATTCAATGTTAAGGCTGCGATTAATTACTGATTATATCTATGTGTAATACAGTTAGCACGAGCCAAGGATCAACTATTACCGTTGTTAGTTATGAACGTTTTAGGAAACTTTCCAGGACTACCGGGTCTCTTCGTAGCTGGTGTATTTAGTGCCGCACTTAGGTAGATATACATGTTTATATACATACTTGGTAAATATTCAAAAAAGAGGAGCCATCTCCAATGACCTTAACCTTGATATATGTTGTCAAGCTCGATAACCTGACTCAACCCTTATCTTGATTGTGAGGTAGACCTCGGTAGAAAATCGTGCTTCCCCTAGGCAGGGGGAGGTTCTTTCTGATTCCCTCTCCCTCCCCCTTCCCTCCCTCTTCTTTCTCCCCCTTCCTTCTCCTTTTCCTCCTTCTCCTTTTTCTCTTTCATCCCTCCCTTTGCTTCACTGTTCCTCTTCTGCTCTTTTTTTTTGTTCTTTTCCTATTTTCCCCCTTCTTTCTCGATATATATGTTTATTAAAATTAATTTGAGATCTCTTTCTTCCAGTTCATTATCAACCGGTCTAAACTCCATGGCAGCCGTGGTGCTGGAAGATTTTGTTAAGCCTTTTATGAAGACTCCTTTTACGCCTAAGGGCGCTGATATCTTTATGAAGCTGACGGTTGTCGTTTTAGGAATAATTTGTGTTGCTCTCGTTTTCGTCGTCGAGCAGGCGGGCACTCATGTGTTACAGGTAAACATGGAGTCATCAGTTAACAAATGTAAATTAATATTCTTTTCATATTTGAATGTTATAGTTGTCCATAAGTCTAGGCTCCATTACTAATGGACCATCCTTTGGCATTTTCAACATGGGAATGTTATTACCATGGATTAATGGCAAGGCATGTGTTAAAGATAAACTTCTTTTATGTTAACTTGATGAAAATTATATTTAAATTCGTTGAGAATAAATAAGTGATTTAATTAAATTCGACAGGGTGCTCTAATCGGAGGAATAGCAGGTTTGAGTTTCATGGGTTGGCTTATTCTTTCTGCTGAAGCAGCTATCATCAGTGGAAAAATTAAGTTAATATCAAAATGTTATGTATATCAATACATGTGTATCAATACAATATACACATTTCTGCTAGTATCTAGATGAAATTATCTAGATAATTTAAATAAATTAAATGGCTCTAGTTTATCTTTTACTAATATTTATATTATCTTTATATATGTCTTAAATAAAAATTGTTTGTTGTTGTCTTTTTCCAAATTATACAGAATGTTTTGAATTTAAATGGTCGAACTTCGGAAGCATGTAAAGAATTCATAAACTAAGATAAAAGTTCTTTAGAAATACGTTTGTTTTTTCTTCGTTTTGAGAAAAATCGCCAAAAAAGACAAAACATAATTTTCGGAATATTGTCTAAGAAGCGGAATATTATTGTTTTCGTGAATAATTATTTTGATTAACAGACACCGCATCGATGACTTTAATTTTGATATGTTATCAAGGTCATTCCAAAAACCTTCAAAAGATTTTAGGTAGCGGTCACTGTTCGTTCAAAAATCATTAACAAATGAAGTTTAAAAAATAGTGTCTTATTTCTGCTATATAGAGCTTTAAGATTTGGTTTCGGTCTTCCGTAGCTCTTTGACATTCCGAAGCTTGGAAATAACAATAGTATTCTAGTAAAAATGAGATGAAGCCATTTATCTAAATTATCTAAATAATTTCATTTAGATACCAACAAACGTTGATAACACAATTAATATCGCATTATATTTTGTTATTTCCTTTAAGCAATAATAATATTACGAATGCGTTCCGTGACATTTACGCTTTTACAGATTCGATACGAAACCCGTAACCACAGAAGGATGTACTTATTCATTTCCACAAGTAGAGAATTTATTATTATCTGTACCACCAGATACAATTTTGAACAACGTTGGAGAGTAAGTTAAATAATGTTAATTATACATAAAATAACTGTTAATAATTTTTAGATATTAAATTATTAATAGTTATTAATTATTGAATTAGTGCCTGTTGCTCCTAATTTTTGCGTAACTTAAACCTTTTATTAATAAGTTAGAAATAATTTTCTTTTAAAAATTAATTCTCCTTTTGCTAAGAGAAAATTAATTTATTCTACAGAGAATTACATTTCGTGCGTTCGAAATATTCTTTAAATATTTGTTAATGACTTTTCAATTTAGCAATTTAAAAATTCCACTATTTTGAACATTTGAAAAATATTTCTTATTTTTGTGTTAAGTAGTATAGTAGCTATTACATTAGGGAACCATGGGCATTGTTCCGGATCAGTTATCTTTGGTATACTCTGACTGGTGCTTTAGTGACTATTAGTGTCGGTCTCATCGTAACTTTGATTACCTCCGAAGATATTGAAAAGTTAGATCCGATGGTCGTAGCACCATTTGTGAGAAAATATTTAAAGACTTCAAAGAAAGATATTACACAGGAAGAACTTCAGCAAATCAAGGTTTCATTATTTTTTTTATTAAACTACATTTTATTATTTCTTAGCTAAATCTATTTTGATTAATAACTACTATTCTATTTTGCTGTAAAAGATTAATTAAAAAAATTTAACTATTAAATTAAACATATTTATGTTATATACATATTTGTATAATATTACTTTATATTAAATAATATATGTATTTTATTTAATATCACTATACATATTATTTAATGATTATTAATACAAAATTTGATTTTTTGTTTACAATTAGGTTGCAAAGTCAAAAGAAATGATAGCGTCTTGTACTATTAATGAAGACGATAAATTATTATCACAAGGAATTCAAGGACATGATATAATAAATAAGTAAATATTAATATAAATTTTAGTTTTCAATGTTAGAAATGTTAAATGGAACATGAGTTTGTATTTTAACAATACTGATTATATATTAAAGAATCGTATTTAATTATAAAAAAGAGCTTTGTACAAAG